GCAGGCTATCATCCAAGTTTCGACAATGTCAAGACATATGTCAGCAGTGGTGGAGCTTGGGCTCAAATCATGGAGGGGCCATTGGCTAGGGGGGGCAAATGAAATCACAATATGCTGATTTTTAGTGAAAAAATTGGTCAAATACATAGGTATATATGCAATTTTTTCTTTGAGCTGGGGGGGCCACCGCCCAGGTTGGCCCCCATGAAGCTTCGCCACTGTATGTCAGGACTAGCATGCGTCTGAGGCCTTGTACAATGCAAGATGCTTAGGTGAGATGCTTAGAGAAATAAACCAGACTTTCTTTAAGCATTGATGCTTAATTGTACAGGATAGACGCTTCACTAAACGTCTTTCCTATAAAAATAGGCACCGTTACTTCAGAAAAAACTCGGTTTATTTTTCTAAGCACCTCCCTAAACATTTCCCACTGTACAAGGCATGATAGGAATAAAACATCAGACCACTCGCGCATGGTCGATTGCACGAAACATCATACTATTGTGCCCTCGCCATTTTAAAATACATGTTTTTCAACATTTTTCCAGTTACGTGTTAAACATTGTTTGACTAAACGCTTAAACTTTTTTTGAATAAAAAAAAATATTTTAACTATGTAAATATATTCTTTTACATTATATAAACATTTTTTAAAAAAATTCATGAGCATGTTTTTAAACTCATGGCCATTTTTTAATGTACCATACATTTTTTTAATGGCACAAAATATTTATTTTGTATTATACGAATGTCTTTTAATTGTATAATTTTTTTTACAATTCCACATACACGTTTATGAAACGCATGAACATTTTTAAAACTCGGAGACCTTTTAATGGTTTTGTCATTTTTTAAAATTACGCTAAAAACATTTTACACCTGTAAGTGCATCTAGTGCCACCCCTAGTTGGTTTTGGAGTATTGACGACAAAGTTGGTTGAGGGACTAATGCATTTGTGAGAATTGCAGGATAACGCAGGTAGTGTCCCTCATTGATTCGGTTTACCTACCGGAGATGACCCCTAAAAATGTATGAAGACATTGAAGACAATGGTGGTATGAGAAGATATTCATATTGAAGACTATGACATTAGAAGACATTACGTGAAGACAATGGAGCGCGAAGACTGTGTGGTTTCGTCGTTTCCTTTCTTCTTTGTTGAGTCATAGGAACCACCGTACTGTTAAGTGGGGTCCAAGTGAACTAAGTCAGAGTGATTGAAATGATGCTCAACCCAAATCTTATGTCTTCAAGCGAAGACAATGAGAGCAAATCTTATCCAGAGTTGGATGAGTCAGCTTTGCTTGTAGCCCAAGTAAAGTTGTCATGTGTGTTTGAAATCTGACCGTTGGAACACGTGTCAGTTCCTTAGTGACCCAGGGTCATTTTGGACAAATCAGATCGGGTTGCCTGGTGGCTATAAATAGCCCACCCCCTACACCATAAATTGGTGGCTGCTCAGAGTTTGTATACGGTTTTTGTCGTTTGAGAGCAACCCACCTTGAGGCATTTGAGAGAGAGAAATCCTTGCGAGGACAAAGCCCAAACACCCAGAGCCAAAGAGTGTTAGGCATCACTGAAGTCTTTCTGTCTGTGTGACCTGAAGACTTATTACACTTGAGGACTGTGTATCCTCCAGCCGGTTAGGCGTCGCGTTCTGAGCATCCAAGAGTTATTGTGGATTGCCGAGTGAACGAAGTCTGTGAAGGTTTGAAAGTCTCCCTTGAAGACTTACCAGAGTGATTGGGCGAGGACTAAGTGACCTTAGCTCAAGGGGAATAAGGTGAAGACACGGTCTTCTGAGTTAAATCTCAGCCTCCCTAACCAGACGTATAGTTGTCACAGCAACTGGAACTGGTCCAACAAATCCTGTGTCCTCAACAAGCAACTGGTTCTATCTCTTCCCTCCTTTACTTTGAGTTTGTCTTCGTGAAGTCATTGCTTATTGTTTTATCCGATTGACTTCATTGCTTGACTACTATTGTTGATTGGCTTCATACTATCTTCCATCCTGATCCTACTACCTAGCTGCTATTAATCTTCAAACGTTAATGCTATTGCATACTTGATTATGGCTTGCTTGTTGTAGTTTATCTTCCGCTGCATATCAATTAGGTTGTTTCTATCGTTTGTCTTCGAAACTTCTATGTTTTGAAGACTTTCCTAAAAATCGCCTATTCACCCCCCCCCCTCTCTAGTCGATAACTAGCACTTTCAATTGGTATCAGAGCAAGGAACTCCCTTGTTCTGTGTGATTCGGTTTAACCACCTGGAGTTTCAGCTATGTCGGCTGCAGGGATAATCAAGGTCTCCGCTGCTTGCCCCATGTTCGATGGAACTGAATATCCCTACTGGAAGAATAAGATGCGCATGCATCTTGAAGCCATTGATGTCGACCTCTGGTATGTCGTCAAGAACAGCGTTCCCAAAACTGGTGAAGGTGTCCCCCCCACTGATGTCAAGAAGTTCATTCAACTGGACTCGACTGCAAAGAACATCATCTATGGTCATCTGACCAAAGGACAGTATGGCCGTGTGAGTGCTCTAGAAACGTCAAAACTAGTCTGGGACTGGCTGTCCAAGGTCAATGAAGGCGTCTCTACACAGAGAGACCAGAGGATCAGTGTTCTTCGCATTCTCTTCAATTGCTTCAAGAGAAACGACAATGAAAATGTCCAGCTCACGTTTGATCGCCTCACCGGCATCACAAATGAGCTTCAGGCTCTCGGCGCCACTGAGATCACCATGCATAAAATTGTCAAGACACTGCTGAGATCACTTGACACCTCTTTTGACACCCTTGCCCTCATGATACAAGAACGTCCTGACTTCAAGACACTCGATCCGCCTGATATACTTGAGAGGCTCAACACACATGAGTTCCAGCTTTCTGAGAAAAGAGATATTTATGGCCCCAACTATGGCCGAACTCGTGCTTTGAAGGCAAAAGCTGTTTCCTCATCTGAAGAAGAAGAATCTGACTGCAGTTCCGATGATGAAGACATTGGAAAGGAACTTGCCATGCTTGTGAAGAAGTTCCAGAGGTTCACCAAGAAGAAGGGCTTCAGAAAGTCTTCACGGTCCAGCTCAAGAAATGATGAAGCTTCCACTCATGACAACAAGAAGAGAACCTGCCACAAATGCAAGAAACCTGGTCACTACATATCTGAGTGTCCACAGTGGGACAATGAGAAGAAGAAGAAGAAGAGCAAGGAATATGATTCTGATGACAAGAAGAAGAAGAAATTCTCAAAATCTTCTTCGAAGTCTTCATCATACAAGAAGAGCTCATCTGGCAAGGTTTGTGCTTTTGTTGGCAAGAAAATGGATTCAGAGGAGGAGTCTGCTTCGGAGGAGGCGGAGGTGAAGTCTGGTGAGGAGTCTGACCCTGGCGTTGCAAGTCTGGCTCTAGCCACAGCCTATGTCGCCAAGTCCATCTTCAACAGTGAAGACAATGACGTCCACACCAACGCTGAAGCTAATGACAAAGACGATTATTCTCCCACCTACTGCTTCATGGCATGTGGTGCCAAGGTAAAATCTGGCAATGCTTACTTTCAAACTTCAAGTGAAGATGACTCTGATTGTGAATCCAAACCCAGCTACAAAACACTTGCTAAAATTGCAACTAAACAACAAAGGGCTATGGAACATACTCAAAAACTGTTAGACAAAAGCGATGACCTGTTGGACGTGGAAATGACACGTTCACAGTCCTTAGTAGAAGACATAAAAAATCTTCATGCTAAGTACCAAGAACTTGAAAATCTTCATGATACACTCTCAACCACATATGAAAAGCTCTCCTATGATTATCTTCAAAGGAAGCAAGAGCTTGAGAAATTGAAAGCGACTCATGAAGATCTTCAAGCAGAGAATGAGTCACTTCGCGCTCAACAGATCAGTCCCGCTCAGGATGGATTCGAACCACCATGTTTAAAATGCTTATGCTTCACAACATACCTTGTGAAGCCTATCCTCCTAACTGCACTGTAGGGCATGTCACCAAAAGTTTCAGAATGGATTATTGACAGTGGATGCACTAATCATATGACTGGTGATCAAAGTCTTCTCATGGACTCAACCTTACGTCCGACAAGAGTAAAATCACATTTGCTGACACTGGTAAAGGCAGAGTATTGGGTCTAGGTAGAGTTGCAATCTCAAGGGATCAACACATGGATAAAGTGATGCTTGTTGAATCGCTTGGATTCAACTTAATGTCTGTCTCAATGCTTTGTGACTTAAACATGATTGTGATATTTGGAAAATATCGTTGCCTTGTACTAATGGAATCTGACAAATCTCTAGTCTTTGAAGGGTATAGG